CCTCTACTTCCCAGGTGCTGGAATTACAGGCCTGCATCATGACACCCAGGTCACTGCCCATTTAAATACTAGATTGAATTTCTAACAACCCTTAGTGCTCTGAGTTTTCAAGAAAGCATATATTCAACACAAAACAGTCCAGAAGAAGAGGCAAATATGTTAAGTGGCTTAAGGAATGACCTTTTGAATCAGTCCACTCTGGGAACTGCTATGTGACTTAATGGGTAGGGTGCTTGTCACCAAGCCTGACAACTCAAATTCAACCCCTGAGCCCACACGGTAGAAGGTGTGAACACACACACACGCGTGAGTGTGCCCATACTAATTAACTAATCAACTATTCTGAACTTGGCTCTAGTTATGACACAACAATCAGATCTTAGACATCTTCCACCTACTTGTTGCTTCCTTTTTATTCCTCTGTGCGGGAGGGCACCAGGGACCAAACTTGTACAAACTGCATAAGTCAGCTCTTGCCTCCTCAAGTGTCTCTTCTTTACCAGCCCCCAAAGACAATCGACCTTGACACAATCTATGGATAAGTTCATTTTCCTTTTTTTCTTTCTTTTTTTTAAAATTTATTTTATTTGCATTGGTGTTTTGCACGTATGTCCTCATGAGGATGTCAGATCTTAAGACAGTTGTGAGCTGCCATGTGGGTGCTAGGACTTGAACTCGGGTCCTCTGTAAGAGCAGTCAGGGCTCTTAACTACTGAGCCGTCTCTCCAGCCCCTAAGTTCATTTTCCTAGTTCAGCCCTGTGCGCACATCCCTCTATCTTCCCTCTGAATAGTACGTGAAATGTATAAATAGCATTAAGTATAAGATTACTTTCATTAGCAAACCATAATTTTACAAAAAGCTATTGAAAAACACAAATGTAGCCTGATGGCATGGTGGGTTTTGTATTATACGTGGCCTAAGGGACACCAAATACTCCTGAAGCAGCTCCTCGAGCACATGTGACTACAGCTTACCCTCTCTGATAATGAAAGGACGCTGCCAAACAAGCCAGACCCACCACTCACTGGGCTGGAGTCTAGCCACTGTTTACTGTGTGGTTTTAAATTGGTTATAATCCTCGGGCAATTCTGCATGCTGGTAGTCTATAAGAATTTTCTTTTTCACCAATCTTTTTCATTTGGGGGGCGGGTAGGGTCTATGTGCCCCAAGCTGGCCTCAGACTTAGAATGTAACTAAAGAGGATCTTGCATCTTCTGCATGTGGGATTATAGGTTTGTGCTACCAAACCTGTCGTGTGGTTCTAGGGATTGAACCCAGGACTTCCTGTATGCTGAGCCTCATCCCCAGCCTGGGTATTCCCTTTCAAGTAACATTTAACTGACTGAAAGGTATTTTGGTCTGTAGTTCTCAGGAGGCAATGGCTATTTAATGTATACTATTCTAGTACTGTGCATATGTGGGCAGCTGTTAAGTAAAGGAATTTCCTACCTGTGACACTCAGGAACAAAACTGAGTCTGATCGCTACTATTTTACAATGAGCAAGTCACTCAGCGACTGTGAACGCTGGCTGTCACACGGCTACAGAACGTCTGCTCTTCCCACTTAAGAGAAACACAAGTTGGGCAGGGCAGTCTCTGTCATGTGAAAGTTCTTGGCACAGTATAAGAAAAAAAATTCTATAAAGCATCCTTGAGGTAGATGAAAAACTAATAATATCCCAAATGTGTTCCAAGACATCATTTCAATATATAGAAATATAGAGAAAGAGATTAACAGTGTGGTAAAAGCTTGAAAACAGAACTAGGGAGAGGAAATTTACCCTTGTCTTCCACCCCAAGATAATTATCACTGCCAAGCAAGACCCTATTCAGGACCCCACACATCTACACAAAACATCCCTCCACTAGAGCCAGTCTTGGGGTCACAATAATGGAGTTTATCTGGTCACCTGGCCACTCTCGCAGAAGCAAACAATAAGCTCACACGGCCACAGAAAAGGCTCAGAAGCAGGAATGAGTAAATGAATCACTGTGGTTTGGCATCGCTCTCCTATATGAACGGGCAACAGTGTTACACAAAGAGCCTCCACAGAGAAAGCTGAGGCCACTGCCTCATGACGTCAGTAAATGATTTCAGCACATAAGAGAACTGGGCAATAGTAATTCAAGCAGACTAAAAGGTGGGGAAGGGCACAGCATTCAAACTAGGACTCATTACATACTTAGAGAACTTACACTTTCAAGCCCACAGCAGGTTAGTGTAAGCGGCTGACATCTTTACCTGAGAGCTATTTAAGAACCTTCACACCTGCTGTGTGCAGGGACAGCTCAGTGTGCAAAGAGCACACTGTGATATGTGCTCATGTAGCACGTTGTGGGGGTTAAATTTGGGTCATTTGTGTGTACACATGAGGTGTAATGTGTGTGGAGTGGTGCCCTGACAGGAGTGAGCCTGTGAAGGTGAGAGGCCGACATGGGAAGTCTTCCTCAATACATTTTTCAGCAGGGTTTCCCCCTGAACGTGGGCCTTGCCGTTCCAGCTAGCTGACCGACTGGTCAATGAACTCTGATATCCACCTGCATCCTCCCCATGCATGCACTGCTGGGGTGGATATGATGGAGCTGAGAGGTCCAAACTCCACGGAGCCATCTCTCCAGCTGCCCACCTTTTGATCATTTTTATAACTGACCAGAAGCTGATTTCAAAAACACTGAGCAATGAGCAATCCTGTAATCTCTCTTCCTCCTTCTCATTCCTAGAATACAGCCTCTTAACTTAGGTACTTGGGGTTAGCAAAAATAGATAAGCCATATAAAACTGATGTCTGAATTAGAGGTCACAGGTCCTGGGACATGTTGTCAGTGTCTTAGACTGCAACATGGCAAGATCAGTCAATGCTCTTTTGTTTTTTGAGACAGGGTTTCTCTGGTAACCCTGGCCTTCCTGGAACCTCCTCTGTAGCAAGCTGGTCTCGAACTCAGAGACTGACCTGCCCCTGCCCCTCACCAAGTGCTGGGCCTGGACTACCACCACCCTGCAAGAATGGCAAATTCCACTGCTAACATGAAAGATGCTGGCAGATCCCTAATGACACAGGTCCCCTGCCCGCCCTCTCTGGAGCCTAGTACTTGTACTTGGTATGTGCAGAATCGCTGGATGAAAACACCAGGACCTACCTCCCTGGGGCTGTGTGAGGCTGCTAGAGAGGAGCCTCAACATCTCCTCTTTGGAAAATTTTCCTACTTGCAACATAGATGTCCCTAATAGCATATGGAAGGGTTTCAATTCCTACTCAGAAACCTCTAGAACAGAAGGTAAATGGACAAAAAGCCTATTCAGTCTGCTCTGCTGAATTTGGGCCTTAGGAGAGAGAACCATGTCTTTGTTATGAAATTATTAACATGTGTAACGTGATCAAGAACATTATGCTTCATCTTGAAGGTTCCACAGAGAGAGAGCATGCATGTTTAGAATTCAGAGGCTTGCAGTGGGTTGACAGCGAAGGACTATGGTTCCATTCAGCAGTGGACAGCTGTGACTTCTTTTGAGGGCCACTGAGCTCCCCTCTGGCAGTGACGCTTACGAAAGAGTTGATAAAAGGCCCTCCCCGATCCTGTGGGGCACTCTCACTTTTAACCCACAGCCATGAGACTAGCCATTTACTCTGGACCCACACCGCCTTGACAGGGCCAGGAGAGGGTTGTTTCTAAGAACTGCATTTTGTGTTGTTCCCTACCCTTTGCCATTTACTGAAACTGAACCTTCAGCCATGCTGCAGGGGATCTGCCAACATGGATGGCTTCTAGACTGAGAGCCCCCTTTGTGCCCAAGGACCCAACTTGAATACTATACAAATGTGGAAGGGAACACATCCAAGAGTCTGAATGAGTGGGTCTGAAGTATGCACCATTATGGACACAAAGTGCCTCATTGTGTTAGTCTGCTAGAGGTATCCCGTGTTACAGTTACATTTTGAGAAACACTTGAAGCCACAGAGCTATTTCTCTGTCAAACATATTGACACCACAAATGTGAAGGGAAAAAAGCACACACAACTAATGAGCCCACAGCAAACCCAAGTACACTGAGAAGTTAGTCAAAACCTAGGAGAAAACTGTTACTGTGAGCCTGAATCCATAAGCATAGCTCAGCGTGGCAGCTGTGAATGAGAAACCAACCACATAGTGCAGCCTTCCAGGGAAGCTATCCAAATCCATGTTGTTGAGGGGAGGGCTAACAGCACTTGCTGCTCTTACAGGACCCAGGTTTAGGTCCCAGTACCTGCAACAGTTTGTAACTCTGGTTCTAGGGTACCTGTTACCTTCTTCTGACCTCCAAGAGCGCAAGGCACATACACAGTGTGCATACATACATGCAAGCAAAACACTAATATACATAAAATAAACAAATCACTAAAGAATATTATCTGGTATTTGATCTAAGAAAAAATAAGGTTTTCATAAATTTGACGCAACATTCTGAACAAGAAAGAAATTTGAGAATTGTCTAGTTGGTCCTAGGATCTAATGTCTAACTCCTAAATTCACAATAGAAAAAGACCTCACTGTTAAAAAGGAAAACTTTAAAGATACAAAACATATTAAAGGATATTTATTTTTTCAGATCTATTTCAAATTTGTATCAATGACCTCCTAAAATTTTTAGTGAAACAAAACTCTATTCCACGTCTTCCTATGTTGGCTATTGAATTGAGATGAAGCATCAACTGAGGATATTAATGGGTTAATATTTGTGACACAAAACAGCCATATCATCCTCACAGAAGGGCCTGGCCCGTGTCTGCTGATGACATGAGTGTGGACTCGCAGGCCAGTCAATGCTGGGACTCAGAAGGAAGCTGTGCTGTGCACAGGTCTGGGGATGCTGTGTGCTGTGCAGAAAGTGACGACAGAGAGCACTCCACAGACTCACGTGATGATGCGTGCAGAGCTACAAGGTCCACCTCAGAAAGAAAAGGTGCTATGTCCAAATACCCACACAGTAACTGTCAAAGAGAAAGGTTCTGATAAACCTACCGGGAGGAGTGCAAGCATCCGCAGGAGACTGGACAAATGTGGACCGCCTTTTGGTGGGCATGGGCAAAGCCATTTTTTGTTCTTTGTGCTTTGCCAGAGCAGCCTGAACCGCTTCTGTGTGGATATCTGAAAAGATAACATATGGATTTATTTGCACTTGTGCTGGATGGTAACCTCTGAGGAATGAACTATTGGTATTTAAGTTGTTAAAAATGCCAAGGAGGAGGTTTAGGTAGTTTTATTTATCTTTTGATTCAGATCAATTAAGATAAAAACCACCGGCGGTGGTGGCGCACGCCTTTAATCCCAGCACTCGAGAGGCAGAGGCAGGCGGATCTCCGTGAGTTTGAGGCCAGGCTGGTCTACAAGAGCTAGTTCCAGGACAGGCTCTAAAACTGCAGGGAAACCCTGTCTCGAAAAGCCAAGAAAAAAAAAAAAAAAAAAAGATAAAAACCAAAGACAGAAACAAAAGAAGTCAAGGGCAATTTCCCAGAGAACAGAGAAGACTGACCGCACAACTCTGGGACACAGCAAAGGGCTGACTAGAGGGGCACCTGTGCGCAGAGGGAGTCCCGCCTCTATGTGGACTGTGATGCGGGAGAATTGTCTGTATTCTGTCAATCATATTTTAATAAAACGCTGATTGGCCAGGCAGGTAGTATAGGTGGGAAAACCAGACAGGAAGTAGAGGTGTTGCAATGAGAACAGGAGTATCCTGGAAAGCAGGAAGCCATTCCTTCACTCCTGCGCAGACCACTGAAGAGGCAGCTTGTAACTTGCCCAGCTGAGAAAGGTACGGAGCCATGTGCTAAAGTAGATAAGGATAATGGGGTAACATAAGTTATAAGAGTTAACAAGAAGCCTGACCTAATGGGCCAATCAGCTTTATAACTTATAGAGTTCTCTGTGTGATTGATTTTCCTTGGGACTTGCCGGCTGTTGGGTACTGGGTGGGACGGAAACCCCAACAAGCCGGCCCTCATGCTACAGGACTGCAGTTAATTCTAAGGAAATAATTAGTGTCCTACATGGAAAATTTTGAATTAGAACACTTCCAACAAAAGTAGCCTAGGGTACACTCAGCTGTCAAGAAGAACTCCCTCGGGTCTGTGCACAGGGACAGAAGGGGTAATTAACTCAGCTGAGACCCTCAGGTTCATGCCATGGGGACAGAGGAATGATTCTGGTCTAACAGTCACAGGGCACAAGTTACTCATTTTGCAGCCTGCACACGGCTCTGGCCTCTTGCACATGTCATAGGAACCTCAAAATTAGCATATTACAAACAGAATTCTGGCTTCTTTACCCCACTATAAAAAAAAAACAAACCCTGATTGTTCTGCATACAGCATGATGCATTCTGTCATTGCTTTGTAAACGATGCCTCTTTATAAGGCATTCAACTTGGACCTCTGGCCTGCACACGTACACACACAAACACATACCCACTCACACCAACACAAACATGTGTATATACAAACATGTATACAGTCCCCTCACACACAAAGACTGAAGGGAAATAAAGATGCTCTTACAGATCCTGCTGAGGTAGAGCAAATCCAAGGTTTTCCCACTTGACAGTTTCTCCTTGCCCAGGATACATCCTTCCAGACTCCTCTGTCCTTTTGTTGTTGTTGTTGTTTTGAGACAGGGTTTCTCTGTAGCTTTGGAGCCTGTCCTGGAACTAGTTCCTGCAGACCAGGCTGGCCTCGAACTCACAGAGATCTGCTTGCCTCTGCCTCTCAAGTGCTGGGATTAAAGGGGTGCGCCACCACTGCCCAGCTTCTCTGCTCTTAAGTGTGACCTCAGAGAGCTCGTCCACTCATATCCAGAATCAGAAAGTGTAGGTCCTAGGGCTGATGTGAGCTAATGACATGACCCAGAAAGGAGATTCTGAACTTCAAGTAAGATCCCTAGAATTTTCTCCCTTCCTAGGGGTTTCTCAGCCATTTTCTTCTGTGACCTGTACCAGCTATTTAAGGGAACCTGAGTAGGCAGCTGCTCCTGCAACTAAAACAGCCCTGACTGACAGAAATACACAGGTCCACATTCTGACTTTGAAGTGCTCCACAGCACTTCCCGGAGTTAACAGGTTACAACTTCAGCAACCCTTTAATATCAAATATTAGGTTGTTTCTATTTTTTTTTACTACTGTCCAGAGTAAGAATAATTCAACATTTCACTTTAGAACACATCTAATTATCTCCTTAGCATTAGCTCCAAGCAAAGGGGTGAAACCAAAGAATATTCACTTCTTATTAATACTTTCTTAGAATACTAATTTTTCTCTTACATAGCCACTGTTCAGTTATCAAAATCTGGAAATGTAGCTAGGTGTGCTCTAGGAAGCCTTTTAATTACAGCACTCAGGAGGCAGCAGCAAGTGAGTCTTAAATTAGAAGTGAATTAGAAGTCAGCCAGGGCCACACAGTGAGACCTTGGTTTTTTGTTTTGTTTTTTAAAATCTGTAACTTCAACATTGATGCACCCATCCTACTGTCTGACTCACAACTTAGCTGTCCCAGTAATGCCATAGTTTCCCACCAGTGTTTCCCGATCTAGACACATATTCCTTTTGGTCATCCTGACCCTTTAGTCTCTTATAATCTGGGACAGTGTCTTAGTCTTCCTGTCTTTTATTGTCATGACGGTGTCGCACAACCTATTTTTATAAAATGTCCCCAAATGTTTGCAGCTGTGATATGTTCTTATGAAATCCAGGTTATTTACTCTGACAGGGACACCACAAAGAATGTGCCATTCTAAAAACACGGTATCAAGACATACCTGTCTATTATTGCTGGCAGTATCTTTGAATATTCAGTTAAATGTTGTCTGTTAAATTAATCCATGTGGTTCTTCTTCTTTGTTTTTGTTTGTTTGTCTGTTTTTTCATGACACATGGTTTCTCTGCACAGCCCTGGCTGTTCTGAAACTCACTCTACTCGCTCTGTAGACCAGGCTGACCTCGAACAAAAATCCACCTGCCTCTGCCTCCCAAGTGCTGGGATTAAGGGTGTGCACCACCAGGCCTGACCACTGATGAGTCTTAACTGCATTATGACCCTGGGTGAGATTATTTATTACTTGGTGAATCAACACATTCACTGGCTCCCCATCTACTCTGGGACTCTCCTGGTGTCAGAGACATTGTTGGCAAATTACTGGCATCCTGACACAAACTGTCCAATGATCATCTGGGAGTCAGCTAGTACCTTCCCTGCTCCAGGCCTAGTCCTGCACAGCTCTCTCAGGAGCTCCCGTCAGTGGTAGATATGCAGCATTTAGGAACCAGGATCCTGAACTAGCGGCTCTTGGTATTATTGGCCATCTTTCTCTAGGGCCTTTCAGGGATCGACGGAACACAAACACAAGTATTTGTGCACATGTCCATGTCTATTTATATCTATATGTGTACTAAAAATGAGTTCCTGATACTCTGATTTCATTCAGCCCAAAAAATTCCTTCTAATGTCCCCCTTTCCATTTGTAACTTCCTTTTAACAATGCCCCCAATATTTTATTCCCTCACTGAATCTCTATTATGCTACACAAACAGCTACTTCAAAACAGTTATATCAATTGTAACAAATCTTCTAACTTGAGTTCAGTGTCTGCTTCTAGTTTTCTGGTCTTTAGACTGGGAGCATTTATGTGAAGAAAGCACTGTAATCAAATGCTGTTCAGGCCAATTCTCAGGCTGTACACTTGCTTAGCATGGCTTTATTCGTGTTGAAGTATCAAAAGCCCATACCATTCCCAGTCAGCTCTCTGTCTTGGGTTTTATCTCAAGATGTGAGCCCTCAACTTCTGCTCCAACGCCATGGGGGTGGGGGACTCATCCACCGAAACTGCAGGTCCTGTCAGATGTTTTCTTTTCTAAGTTACTCATGGAGAGGTCAGAACCTGTCCGTTCTTTCCACCATGTGAGTCCCAGGAAGTGAGCTCAAGCCATGAGGCTTGGCAGCAAGTGCCTTTAACCCACTGAGGTAAAACAAACCTTCAAGTCATTTGCTCATCTTCCCCACCAACTTCCGGTTTTATTTTCCCTAATTTTTTTTTCATATATTAGGGATATGAGATACAAATTGCCAAGAGGCAAATTTATACTGCTTTCCTACCACCATAAAAAAACTTATGTGCCTTTTATTGCATCAGAAAGTCTTTCTATATATAAAGTCCAAGTGATAAGAGTGTTGGCTGGTTTCCTTTGGGAAGTGTACCCTTCTACCGTTCAGATCTCTAATCCAGAGAGGTGAAGTGGGAGGTAGGGTATGCTCCAGGCTATCTCCAGCTGTGTGAACACCAGTATTTCAACAGAACCTGTGTGCCCTGGTGAGCTGCAACACCAGCTGCACAGCACACAGGAAAGACTCTCAAAAGCACAATGGTCTGAGAGCTGAGCTTGCTGTTTTATTGTAATAGTCGGCCAACAGGCATGTGTGCCATACAAACTGCTGTAATTATTATCACATAGCTAACATCTACCTATTTCTCACATTTTTCTGTCTTTTCTAAGCCATTATTTGTGTTCCCAAACAAATCTCAAAAGTAAGTTCTCTGGGCCTGCAAACCGTTTGCAAACCCCAGCTCTATGTACGAAGAGGGGCAGAAAGAAAGAATTTCAGTCCTATATTTCACATTATCTGTCATTTTCTTTTGCACAAAGTAAACGGTTATTTATCCTTTAGAATGGCTTGGACAGCATCAGCATGAAGCCTGCCTCAACAGGCACCTCCCGCTTCTTTCCGATGCTGCCTTTGTACCCTGGACTGTGTGAAGAACTCTTGTGTTTCCATCTATGCTTCCCCAGGATGTTGTGCTGTGCTCAGACCACAGGAAGTGCTGCCAGGAGAGCTCCATCGCTCCTGGCTGAACTCAGGTGTATTAATACAGAAAGACATGACCTGGAGCCCCCGTGTCAGTCACTTTACACAAACAGAACAGATTTGGACAAAGACGAGAGAAGCTCTCCTCTAGATGAAAGAGGGAGGCACTGCTGCATTTCCACAGCATCAACTCAGAAGAAGCCAAACTGATGGGGAGGACCTAGTAAGACATGACTGTCACAGCCGAGCTTGCTGTCCTGCTCACAATTACACCACTCAGAGACTTCATGGGCCATTTTGTCAACAGTAAGAAAACGGAGCAGTGGGGATTGCTCGATGGCCAAGTACTTGTCTGGGATGTGTGAGGTCTCTAGTCCAATCCTACTTCAATCCCTAGAATCACCAAAAGAAACAAAGAAGTAATCATATATTACAAAAACAATCTAAACACATACAGCACTAATTAAGAACGTTGTAAGAAACACCAGCTCAATAGTAGGGTACATTTTTGTCTCAAGTTTCTGTACCTATGAGCATTAACTAGTGCTCAGTCTCCTCCATGCTGGGATTATGGAGTACACTACCTACCAAGTCCAGTTTGGGCTATTACTTTTACAAGCATAATACCAGCTTACTTACTTTGGGTTCTGCAATAGGATACTTTATGTAGCATTTATATTTATTTCATACTATTTTAGTGTTCCCTAAGTTCACTCAAATCAAGAATGTTGTATCTTATAAAAGAGACAAATTAAAATATTTTTTACATTTTATTTATTTATGTATTATGAGTGCTCTATCTGCATGTACACCTTTAGGCCAAAAGAGGGCACCAGATCTCACTATAGATGGTTGTGAGCCACCATGTGGTTACTGGGAACTAAACTCAGGACCTCTAGAAAAGCAGTCAGTGCTCTTAACCACTGAGTCATCTCTCCAGCCCCCAAATTAAAATATTTTTTTAAAGGATCCTTATATTAGAAGAAATATGGTTCATCACTGCCTTGGAAAATAAGCAACCAATTGCAATGAAATAAGGTACTTTCTCAATGACAGAACCAGTAGCAAAGCTAGTGCTCCTACTTGGTTCTTTATCTCCCTAGGTATTTTTACCTGTGAGAGCAAAGCTGCCAAAGTCAGGCATCTTCCTGCTGCTGATGGGAGGCTTACACCATCTGTATGACTAAGAACCACAGTAGGAGTCACAGCATCAGGTCCAAGTACACCGGGCCACCCAACTGTCCCTACATGAAAATGCTGGCCCAGACACTGGTGTCAAAGGGAACAGACCCAGTTACTCCAGCCAAGATTCCTACTGGTCAGAACACAGCAGCCCTCCTAACAGAATGTGACGGGTTCAGTGGCACAGGATTCATCTTAATTTCTTATAAGGAAATACTTCTGCAGTTCATTCTCTGGACAAAGCTGACTTTGGATTTCTCTTCCAGAAGCCATCGAAGCTGAGTATCGTTTTCCAGCTTGACAGGGTGATGCTAACACACCCTGAATGTCCTTTCTCATTTTATTGTTTGATTTGGAGTGGCTAATTTCTCCAAAGATCAACATCTAAGGCATTCTAAGATGGATTTCCTTTCCACTGTAAGCATTAACTGTGTTTTCTGCACTTGGAACAAACCACACAAGTATAGGAGGCCAACAGTCAGGAGGAAGAGGCACTGTAGCAGAGCGTTTAAGGTCCTTAGGCAAAGCATGCCAAGAACAGGACGCAGGATCTAAACTCCTAGAGCAGGGGCTGGAGATACGCTGCTCTTGCAGGGCACCCAGGTTCCATTCCCAGCATCCACGTGCCAACTCACAAGTCTGTAACTCTAGTTCAGGGGATATGACTTTCTTCTGACCTCCATGCACACTAGCCACACATGATGCACAGACATGCATGCAGACATGCAGGCAAAACACACACACACATGAAATAAATAAACTCTGAAAACAGCTCTTACAATTATATCTTAGACATTAAGCACAAAGGTCATTTAGAGTTGATTATGACTGTTTGAAATATCACAGGTGCCAATAAACCTGTGCCAAGTAAGGACTTTTTCGAGCCACACTCGTCAGCATTAGATTACCGTCCTTTCTGTGCACCCATCACTTCACTCTGAAGCGCAAGCTTTACTAAACATTCCTTATGCTCATGAGCTATTTTGCATGTGGCATGCTGTACAGCCCACCTCATGACTAGAGACACAGTTGCTGTTGGTTTCAGGAATGCCAGAATTCTGAGACCATTTCATTCTCCAGTGTGCTGAGAGTTTCCATGGCAATTCAGCTGAACAGGTCCCAATATACTGAAAGTTACAATGTTGGTCTATAATCTATGCTTACCTGCCTTTTTATGTTCCCTGAATGACAATGTTGCAACTCTCATAGCTTTTCATACTTTTGGAGATTTCTTTTTAATGTTAGGGAAGTACTTTTCAAAAAAGTTTTATTATTCTTCATTTTATGTGTATGGGTGCTTTACCACATTCATGTGTGTGTACCATTAGAGGCCAGATGAGGGTATCGGATCCCTTGAAACTGGAGTTACTGATGGTTGTAAGCTGCAGTGTGGTTGCTGGGAATTGAACTCGGGTCCTCTGGAAGAGCAGCCACTGCTCTTAACCACTGAGCCTTCTCTCCAGCCCTTCAGAGATTAATACATATTTTTTTATTTGTGTTTATGTGTTGTGTGTTTGCATACATGCGTGTGTGTGCATGTGTGTGTGCCCTTGGAGCAGTAAATGGGTCAGATCCTCTGGAGTTGGACTTACGGGCTGTCACAAGCCACTCAATGTAAGTGCTGAGAACCAAACTAGGTTCTCTGCCAGAGTGGCAAGTGCTCTTTGCCACTGAGCCACAGAAGTGACGTTTGGGAACCACCTTTCCTTCCTTCCCACTGCTCCTGCCCAGTCTATCTCTTGCTAGCTTCCTCTCTCACAAAGCCCCAGTGAGACGAGGACCAGCCTGATCACTGACTCCTCATCACTGCCCTCGTGTTTTCCAAATACCCGCTTCACAGACTACATTTTCTATCAATTGGGGAATTCTAAAAGAAATGGTTTTAAATGGCAGGGGCTGGAGATAACGACTGTGTTTCTGCAAGAGAGAGTCACAAACCTCACATCAGCCAGTGAGTTCACAAAGCCTTTTTGATCTACAATCATTTTGGACACATTGTCCCTTAAACTAAGTCTTTTATCACAATCCATTAATGAACATGCCAAGAAAGAAAGATATACCAGGAGAGAAAACAAAAATCTCCCAGAAGCCTAGAAATGAGAATTCTAAGTGTGCTTAGAGCACACTGCTGACTGAGTTGGCCTCTAAAGGTGACAGCAGCACCTAGGAAACCAGGATGGATGCTTGGCAACAACCAGGAAGTCTGGATATGCTCTGCTGCTTCCAGCGTTACCTCCTCTGACCCACCTTTAAACGCAGCTGCTTTTAGCTGGGAGTGGTGGTGCACACCTGTAATCTAAGCATTTGGGAAGCTGAGGAAGGGGGACTCATACATCTAAGGGCAGCCTGGACCACAACCCAGTAGAAAAACAAGCAATCCTACTTTACTTCCTTTGTTTCCTCAAAGTACCTCTTTAGCACTGGAACACAGCAATGTGTACTGGAATACAGCAGTGTACAGCGAGCAGTGTGTGCAATAGAGTACAGCAGTGTACAGCGAGCAGTGTGTGCAATAGAATACAGCAGTGTACAGCGAGCAGTGCGCAGTGGAGTACACCAGTGTACAGCAAGTAGTGTGCAGTGGAGTACAGCAATGTACAGTAAGCAGTGTGCACTGGGATGATCTACTAGAACAAATGGAAATCTCAGTCGATTTCCACTCTGCTAAAACACTTAGCACTTGAGAGTGCTCAAGATTTGGCCTCTAACCTTCCCTACCCTTTCTTCACTCCCTGCCAGCCCTGAATTCAGTCTGAAGTTCCAGTTAAATGAACTAGTTTTGGACCTACTATCTGGTGCCATTTTCCTAAGTGATTCTTGTCTGGCAGCCATGTTGCTATCTACTACCTAACCGATCCCTCAGGACAAGATGAATTCCAAGGGAAACTGGTATGCTGTGTGACCATTTGTGGTGGTGACTGAATATCTCTCATCCTTCATCATTTTGTATGTGAAAATGTGTCTAGTAACACCCACTCAGAATGGATTGGTCAGCTCTGTAACCATGTCCTTTTAAATGATGTTTCTGAGAGGATATTTTCAATTCGAGAAAAGGTCATGGTAACTTTAGCTGGTAAGAAGGGGACAAAGTCTAGAGTAAGTAAAATAATATTACTATTAAGTTCTGCAGCCTAGTTGTGTTACTTAAATCATAGGATATGCTACACATATGCTACATGGTATCAGAAAGACCTGCTCTAGGATTTGTCCCTCTGCCAAGTGCAGCATGATGCCCTTCCCTTTGCCAGCAGGACCTTCTGGGTTAGAGGATGTCACCAAATGGATGAGCTCGCTATGTAAGTTCACTGGGCTTTGTTTAGGTCTGTGAGCCATGGGCTATTTACAACTCTGCAAGCACAGGGGCTGCCGCCTCACATGTGACCTAACTCCTACCTTCTTTTTACTTATTTATTCACAATGATGTTGTGCTTGTCTTGCTTCTTTTCTGAAACTGAAATTTCTAGAGGGCAAAATGGTCAGAAAACGTGAGTATCTACAGCTGATACTCAGCACGTACCTCCTGGCTCAAGGGAAAGCAGCACATCAACCATGAAGGGTGCTCAGGACACAGTTCACACTACCTAGGACACACAGTTCACACTTCCCAGGACACACAGTTCACACTTCCCAGGATACACAGTTCACACTACCCAGGACACACAGTTCACACTACCTAGGACACACAGTTCACACTTCAGGCAGGGAAATTTCTGCAATTCCTTCTCACCTGATCGGTATCGCTCATCTCTGGCCCCTCCAGATCGAGTTCGGTGATATTTGGAAGGAGCAGAAGTCTGAGCTGGAGTGGGAGCAGGAGTCTGGTTTCTGTCTTTTTGTCCTGTTGAATCAGTTTCTAAGGAAGAAAGTTTGGAAGACGGTTATCCAACAGCAACAGCGGGTGGGTGGCTGTGTTCTAAGCATGACACTCATTCCTGTCACAGCTGAAGGTAGTTATTCATCTATAGTAAAGGGCTAAAGGTTAAGGTAAACACATACATTTGATATGAAAGCCTCAAGCTAGGGCTGGAGAGATGGCTCAGAGGTTAAGAGCACTGGCTGCTCTTCCAGAGGTCCTGAGTTCAACTCCCAGCAACCACATGGTGGCTCACAACCACCCATGATGAAATCTAGTGCCCTCTTCTAGCCTGCAGGCATACATGCAGGCAGAATGCTGTATACACAATAAATAAATCTTTTTTTTTTTTTTAAAAAAAAAAAAAGCCTCAAGCTAAAAAATTACCTCACAGCTATAACCACCAATGTCTGATAGGAAAGAAACAGCTAGACAATAAATGTGTAAAAGTTACCCTAGAGACTGGCCCATTAAGATGGCTAAATAAAACTTCCAATAAGGTCGTGGTTTTGCCACTTGGTTTGAGATTTTCACAGTGCTGAGGATCAAACTTGGGTCTCACAAGAGCCAGGTATGGTTCCACCACTGAGCCACACCCCCCACATCTAGATATCCTTTAGTACACTGACTGTGTTCGAGAGAACAAGGAGGGATACGTTTTAGGATGCTATCCATCTGTGTGCACCACAGATCTAGTAATGCTCTTTACTGGTTCCTGTTGCTGGAATTTTCACCCAAAGCTCATTAACTGGGGAGAGCATGACATAGACGGAGGTTTTAAACCTGCTGTGTCTGATACACCGTGAGTACTACATTAGACAGCACCGAGCAGGGAAGACAAGACAACTGTCCATCCAGTCCAGGTGGGCTGCAGTCCCGCTCTGGCTCACTCTGGTCTCCCCTCCTGACACCCAGCTGCCTTTCTATGCCCTTTAACATCTCATGCAGACACAGCCTTTTTAATGTCTGAGTCTGTAAACTAGTCTTTAAGTCAACCCAAATTCTCAACAGCCCACTTCATAATAAGAGCTACACAGAATTCTTATATTCTCAATATCTTCTTCAAATGTTACTTTTATTAGTCTTGAACAACAGTCAACAGACTAGAGTTCCTGGCCTATTATGGCCCATCTCCTGATTTTTGTTTCATTTTGAGACAGGGTCTTTATGTATCTCAGGCTCGCCTAGAACCTAGAACCTTGTCTCAGTCTTGTCAGTGCTGAGATTAAAAGTGTGCACCACCAAACCAAGCTACACTGATTTTTCTTTTCTTTTGCTTTGTGAGACAGGGTATCATGTCTTCCTGGCCAGGTGGGAACCTGCTATGCAGGTGAAGCTGGCCTTGAACTCCTGATCCTCCTGAGTGCTAGGATTACAAGTGTGCCACCATGCTGACTTACAGTCTGTTTCTACAAATAAATGTATTGGGACATAGCCAGGAACAGTCTCCTACAGTGTCTGTGGCTGTGTCCATGCTGTCCAAGCAGAACTGAGTAGCTACGACAGACACTACGGGGTCTATAAAGCCTAAAATACCATCTGCTCCTTCATAGAAAGCCTCTACCAACCTGAGCTACAATAACTAAACCAACATTTAAATGTTTGTTTGTGCCTGAAGTAGTCTCATCTTATTTTTTATTCTGCATGATAAGCCTGCAAAGCCGGTCCTCCCGCCGATCCCTGTAACAGGGAGGGCAGACATGGATGGGCTGGCTGCTGGAAGTCGTAGAGCCAGAGCACAGACCCTGGTCTACCTCTGCTGGTTCTCAAACAAAAGGCTCTAAAAAGAGACTACAGAACTTTTAAGAAGGAAAGAGATGGGAATTAACTACCTAGGCTAGGAGCATCAATGCTTTGGGATTCAGAGTCAGCAGCTACGTAAAGAGGGAAAAGCATCCACACCTCCCACCCCCACCCCAAAAGAACCTCACAACCGCCACACTCCTTACTGCCCACCATGGAAAAGATTCTGCAAAAAGCCACTTGTTAGAGAAAGTACTTGAAATACAGTCCAACCAACTTTAAACAGAGAACAGAAAATAGAAAATAGAAAGGAGCTATTTTTATTTCCACAGTCAGGAAGGAAATCACATTAGCACACATGAGCTACTTTGTAAATATGCACAGGGAAAATGGTTTGAGGTGGCACACTGATCCTCAAGACATGCTCCTATTGGTTTGAAGGATTTGTTTGTTTGTTTGTTGAAGTAAGATATGTATTTATTTATTTATTGTAAGAGGGGCCATATAAAACTACAATTGTTATTAACTACCACTGGTTATTTTACTAATTAAACAAATAACATAAATCACTCTAAGACACATAATGTTTTCAAACTGTATTGTTAATAATCAAACGTTAAAAAGAATGAATGTAAATTCTTACTTACAAGGGGTGACACAAAGATTTAAATATTTTTACCATCTTTCTCAGACATGTTTCTGCTTTATGTTTTTCTTTTTTCCTTTCTTTCTTTTTTTTGTTTTTTGTTTGTTTGTTTGTTTTTTTGAGACAGGGTTTCTCTGTAGCTTTGGAGCCTGCCCTGGAGGCTGCCTTGTAGACCAGGCTGGCCTCGAACTCACAGAGATCCACCTGCCTCTGCCTCCTGACTGCTGGGATAAAAGGCGTGTGCCACCACCACCCGGCTCTGCTTTATGTTTTCTCAATGTAGCCAAATAAATAGAGAAAGATAATGTAGGCTAAAGAATAAAAATCTGGGAGCGGGAGAGGTGGCTCAGAGGTTAAGAACACTGGCTATTCTTCAAAAAGTCCTGAGTTCAATTCCCAGAAACCACATGGTGGCTCACAATCATCTATAATAAGATCTGGTGCCCTCTTTAAAACAAACAAACAAACAAACAAACGGGAAAATCTGCACTCTTTAAAATAAATAAATAAATAGGAAAATCTGCCACGAAGAAACAACAGGCATGTATTTAGGAAGGACCTGGAGAGAGCACACATTTCCACTCAGCATGAGCTACAGGTTATCATAAGTTAATCAAGGGCACACAACACAGAGCAAGTCTTCCAATGAAAATGGGGTTGACACACAGCCAAGAGCACAGGCCAATGGACACTGAAAACAAAGCCCACACAGATCTCTACCAAGCAACCAAGTAATGGGGCTATGACGTTTGTCTCTGTCCCCTCAAGAACCATTCATCTAACCCAACCCATTTTCTCTGGGGTCTAAAACCATGGCAATCATTTTGTTATAATTTGTCAGAAATAAACCCAAAAGTTTTATTTACAATTTCAATAAGTATGCCCAACACATAACGTCACAGAAACATGGATTTATGGTAGAATAAACTTGGCTCAAATGTGTAACACATCTGCTTCAACTTGACAAAAGACTATATTAAAAGGTGAAACAGAAGCCAGGTATGTTGACCCAAGCCCATCATTTCAGCACTCAGGAGGCTACACAGTGAGACTGTCTCAAAGACCACAAACAAAGCCAGCAAGAAAGTTCCATGGCCCACGGTGCTGCCACCAAGCCTCACAACTGCAAACTAGAGCTCAATCCCCAAGACCCACATGGCGGAGAGAGAACTGACCCCTGCAAGTTGTCCTCTGACCTCCACATACTCCAGAGTGCAGACACTCAGGGACAAGGATGGACACGAACACACACGCGCGCACACACACACTGAATGAATGAATGAATGAATGAACGAACGAATAAATATAAAAAGAAACTGTATGATGAAAACAGAGCCAAGCAGACCCCTGGAAGCACCAAGCCCACCAGGGGATATAACAGTTTGGAGCTCATCTTGATGACATGAAAACATCACTCACTATGAACTTTTATTTATTTGTTTGTTTGTTTTATCAACTTTTATTTCTAGGTACTACTTTGAGCAGGCTGGCTGCGGAGAGCTGTACAAAACTATGTATAGCTAAAGTACTTTTGCCGAACATAAAATCAAATGTTCATTATAGAACATTTAGGGATTACTTAAGTGTAAGGATGAAAATAAAAGTTATATTGATTCTCTTAAAACTAAAATTTATGATCTATCAAAATAAAAAAATATTCAGTTTTCATGCTCCTGGATAAAAAGTGACTCTTGGAGCACAATTCTCCAGCACTAAGCTGAGTTATTGCTCTTTCGCTATAGGAACTAACAGGTCAGTGTGTCCTTGGGAGTGAGAGGACACAGCAGTATCCTGGGAGGTTACAGGGATGCTGGGGTCAGTGCAAGCCACTTGCAAGTGCACTGGTTTATGAATAAAATTGGAATTACACGCCACTGGCCATATCGAGGATGGAGGGGTCTGAGGGCATGGGAGGACAGAGAGCATAACGCTCTGAATCCTCGAATGTGCAGGCAAGATGCTGACCAAAGATGAACCATCTCCTGTGTAATCATATCTCAGAAATAATGTGGGAGATACAAGTTTCCATGTTTGGGATAAGTGTATAATTTTACTGCCATGGTAAAGAAAAAGCAAAGGCAGAATTCACTACATGTCGCAACATAATCAGATAATCTATGAATTAAAATGAAAAACTTCAGGCCCTTCAGTCAGAAAAAAAAAATCACTTTATATATTAAGAATTAGATGGAACTTAAAAGTCCCCTGTATACTGGATGAAGCACAAATGATATACATGAGAATTCCTTACCTTTTCACTGTTTAGTTTATAAAAAACAAAGGTACTTATAAAAATCAAAGTAATTTGAAAGGCATTAAGTCTACAGAAATGCTGGAACAGAAAACGTAGCGTCACTGTGACCACAGTGACGCTTCAGTTATGCGGAGTAGCCACTAGGGGTCACCATTAAATTTAGATGGTGATAGTAGGTTTGGTTACATGCGTTTTTTTTGTTTTGCTTTTAAAACAAGTTCTTCAAAGTATTCCTTTTAGACAATCAACACGCATATAATGTACTACTCTTTCAGAAAGGTGCTGTGTCTTCTGTCTGCTGTCTAAACACAGTGGCAAGGAGAGCTCAGAAAGGAACGGCATGTAAGGAGAAAACAG